TTTCCAGTGACTAAATATTCTTAAGTAGTCTGTCTCTTCTTTCAAGTCTGTCTTCATCTGTCCACCATGAGCGACCCTGCTGGTATTTAAAATTCCAGTGGCATAGCTTCCAGAATCACAGTAAAACAAGCCACCAGAGTATGACAAACTTGACAAACCAGTGGTAGCCTTCCAGTAATAGCCACTAACAACTCCTGAGTTCTTATGTGGACTTACCATGTCAACACTAAATTACTATTTACTCTTCAAATACCTGTAATGTAGTATAACCCTTGTGAGGAGTGTGAGGCACAAAACAGTTAAGTAGATTACCCAAGGACACATAGGTGAGCAAGTAGTAGAGTTGGGATTCAAAGCCAAGCTGACTAGAGCCCACTCTTTCCTCCTGATTGTTGGAATTAAGTTGTACCGGCCTAATTCCTGAAGAAGGTAGAGAGTAAGACAGTGTCTGTCTGAAAATTGGCTTCTTTTTCTGGCTTCTTGATGGATATAAAGCAATAGTTCTCAACCTCAGACTGAAGTTGTAACTGAACATTTTGTACCAGGATCCCCCGCTATAAGCAAACCCAGACTCCTTGGGTAACTGGGATGTGGTTTGATTAACTCTGAGCCCATGGCATGCTTGGCTTTTTCTCACACCTTCTGTGCATTGTAGAAAAAAGCACTGTGTCCCAGAGGAGACAAAAGTTTAAGTCATCAAAAGTTTAAGGTGTATTGGTGATGAGTCCATTGAGAAACACTCTTAACACAGGATGTCCATCCACTTACTGTTGCTATTGATGATGCAAAACTACTTCAACAATGCAAAACTACTTCAGGCCAAGCCTTCCTGAGGAGGTTGTGGATGTTGGACCAGGAAAGAAAGCCAACAGCTGCAATCCTTTCTGACCTAACAGTGGTGTTAACGAGGCTCGATTGTGGCACTTTGGTAGTCACAGAATTATTTTCCATGTTCTAAGCCAGCCCTTTCTAAGTACCCTCCAGTTTTCCCCAGTGCCCACTCCTGCCATGGTATTGGTTTGACACCTCTATAAATATATGGCAGGAAATGTTTCATGTGCTTGAATGGGGTCTAATTGAACAAGAACTCTGAAGTCAGTCCTGGGGTTGTTTCTCTGTGTAGTCTCTTACTAGGAAACCGTGGGAAGGGTGCTAACTTCTGATAAGACTCAGCTGGATCTGTAAGAGGTCGAGAACAGTCCCCAGCTTGCAGGGTGTACTGTTGTCTCCTTGCTCAGGGCCTGTCTATAGCTATGTATGTAGTATCTATCATTACTCTTCACCTGAAGACTTGGGCCCTGCCTGGCTTGAGTCACCAGCAGTAATGAGGACCTCACCAACCAGACAGGCTGGCTGACCCAGGTTCCTCTGTGACAGACTGGATAAACCATCTGAACTCCCATTAAGACACATGAGCTTGTGATCCATCTGCAAGGATGAAATGTCCCATCATGAGACCTGAATACTCACCTCCGCCTAAGATATAGAGGAGACGTGCAATCAAGCAAAGACTCAGAATAGGAAAAAACGACTCTGGCTTAAATTAGGCCTTGGATGATGGCGTGGTCCAGAATAGTAAAAACAACCAGGCCATGGCCAATCATGGCAGTTTCTTTGATTATCCAGAGAAAGTTTTATTTTCCAGTTAAATGAGTACCTCTCAAGACCAACCTGGAGAGAAACGAATCCAACATGAGCCAATAAGCACCTTCCAATTGCAACTAGGTAAAAATGGCAGCCAGTGCTGAGGCCTTTGATGAGTTCATAGAGCACACTGCTGACCTCCAAGCCAGGGCCCACGGTCTGCAGTGCAACTGACAAACACCAGATGACTCATCTGGGATGGGATGACACTGTGGTTAAGTCCTGGTGACTCAGCTTACTGACAGTGCTGGCAGGTGCATTAATTCAACACATGGGAACAGAATCTACCTCAGCCATGGCTCCACAGCACTCAACAACAACAACTAGCCCTGAGCAAACTATTGGGTCTAATAGGCAGACATAAGTCATTCTAAGGGTACCACAAAGGAGCTCTGGTAGCATAGTGGTTATGAATCGGGCTGCAAACCGCAAGGTCAGCAGTTCGAAACTACCAGCTGTTCTGCGGGAGAAATATGAGGCTTTCTGCTCCCGTAAAGATTTATAGCCTCGGAAACCCTGTAGAGGGTCGCTATGAGTCGGAACCAACTCCACGGCACATAACAACAACAACAACAACAAGGGTACCACCAAGCCCAACAGGGACACTGCCCCGCTATACTTTTTACGAAGTTGTTATTTCAAATTAATATTGAAGTGATCATGAGAAAAAAATAAACACTTTATTGGGTTTTGTTACATGTATTTTACAGTTTAGCATTGCTTTTACTTTTAATTACATAAAGCAGAAGGTGGGCCATCCTTATGTTTCTTGAAGCTTAGGACCTATAAAAGTCTTCATCTGACTAACCCTGCGGTTACTGAAATAGGCACATGCTTTACAGTGGTAAAGTAAGCAGCGCAATCTTCCCTATCTGCTCCCTGCAGCCTGTCATCCACTCCAACTGACACTGCCTGCTCTGGTTCCATCTGTTTACTTCACTAAAGAGCAGCCAAGTGTTATTGTATGCTCTCTAGTCAGTTCTGACTCACAGCGACCCTGTATAGGGTTTCCGCGGAGCGGCTGGTGGATTTGAACCACAGACCTTTTAAGTTCAAACTGACCTTGCTGTCCAGTGCTTATCCTACACAATACCACACCAGGACTAAATGTTGTTGTTAAGTGCTGTTGAGTGGTTTCCAACTCACAGTGAGCCAGTGTAGGGTCTTCGAGGAGCAGCTGGTGGATTTGAACTGCCACCTTGTGGTTCAAGCTGACCTTGCTGATCTTCTAGCACTGCCCCAGAACTCAGGTATGGTCTCCATTCGGTACTGGCTGACCATCTCTGACCTTTACATATTGTCCAGTCTCATTTTAGCCCATATTGAGATGCGGTAGATCCATACAATAAGCAATTGACTACAAACAACAAGGTTGGCGGTTCAAGCCCACCAGCTGCTCTGAGGGAAAAAGATAAGGCTTTCTGCTCTCACAAGGATTTAAAGCCTCAGAAACCCTATACAGGGTCACTATGAGTCTGAACTGACTCAAGGGTATTTTAACAACCACCAGAGTGCTATTAGTATGGGCTAAGCAAACTATCTTTCCTCTTTATACCACTGATTGTGAAGACAACACTGAGGTTCAGAGAGACAGTCATCTGCCCAAGGTCACACAGTGCAGACTCAACTGTTAGCTGACCAGTTCTTAACCATTCAGAACTAAACACCTCTATCCAACCTGCTCTATTTCCTGGTTTTCCTCTTAAACAAATGGAACCAACCATCTCCCCAGGTGATTTAACCAGAATCACCCTGTAATCTACCTGTCCCCCATATCTAACTCATTACTGACTTTTTAATTCTAAATACCAAGTAGCTCCCAATTTCTCTCCATCTTCACTCCCACTTCTCTATTTCAAATGTCGCAGAAACTGTCCCTGGTCTCATCTCTCTAAACCCCCTTTCCACATTATCTGTCACTATGAAGAGGCGCCCCATTGCCCTCAACACAAGGTTGAGTAACTCTTTAGTACATTTAAGAAGTCCTCCATATACTGGTCTTTGGCCATTTCCCCCTTGTCTGGCTTTATTTGCTAAACAATGTTTCCCATCTCTCTGCTTTAACACACGAAGTTTCATCCGCCTTTCAGCAATGCCTTCACACTTCCTAATCCTCTTTGAGAATTGATCAGTTCTTGGCTTTGACACCACTTCCTCCAGGACACCCAGCAGGCACCGTTCATTTGAATCCTCCACAATTCCTAAATCTCAGTACCAATGACACATTGTAACCACTCAGGTACTGATGTTCAGCCTCCTTGAAACTGGAGGTCCAAAACTAAAGACTGTCATATTTAAAACTGTTGTCTCTAGAACCTAACAGTGCCTGGTACAGAACATACACCCACTAAGTATCCACTGAAAGAACAAATTGCTCCTATTCTACCTCCTTGAATAAGTTTCATGACTAGAGCCTTGTTTGTCTCTCCCCTACTAAGAAGATAGTACAACTCTGAATGAGTGCAGAAGTTTATTCACCAGGCAGATCTTACATTTCAGAAGGAACTGGACCATCCTGCTAGGTACCTGATAAGCCGGACTTGCCCCCATAAATCCCCATATACAGAATGGTTACTGATTCATAAAAGCTGTTAAAAATGCCCTTAATGAGCTTAAAGTGTTCCATTTTAATCAAATACCTTTATAGTGCAAATATAATAAATTCACATGCATGTGACATTTACAGACTCAGAAGAGAATGAGGGACTAAAGGTGCAATGCTTGCTTCCCAGGTGAGCCTTCATTTTAATCAGACACAGCGCCGTTACTGACATACACACAGCTGGCAACGCCACAGGCTCAAGCAGCAGTAATCTGCAGTGTTTTTAATCAAAAACGGTAAATGAAAAGATTCAAAATGTTAAAATCGTAGGCACCCTTCTGGAGCAGGAGCCATCCATGTACTTCCTAAGCGTGGAAGGATGCTGGTCTCACACAAATTAGGGCTTCCACGGAGGAAAACTCAAGTCATTCCATTTTTGCTTTTTATGGATATTGCAATAGAAATATATTAACGATGGCCTCAAGTATCCAACATTTTCCTATCTTACATTTTAAATCATAGCTTTAGGAACCTACATGGTTTTATAAAGAATTCTCTTCACATCACAGCACAGCTGTAATAGCTCTCTTTAAAACGAAAAAATGTTCCCACTGTAACATATATATATATCTACGTGAAAAGCTAAGATCCTGCATCAAGCATTATTCAATCTCACCATCTGATATAAACCTGGATAGTGTCATATTTGCAAAATGTTCACACTTAATATTGTAGCTGAAGCGAAGATAAAAGGAACGTGGGCTGTAGCACAGGGGACCTTTATGAATTTCAGTGGTCTCATTGGCACTTGGGTTCAGCTGAAGTCCCGACCGGTGAAGACAAGTGGAGCCACCAGGGTCCAGATGTAAAGGAGGAGGCAGGCCCAGCTGGAGCTGATCTTGACCCACACAGCAGGCCACTTTCTGGTCATGTTCTGGAACTCTGCTTCAGGGCTAAGGAACCAGGAGAGAGGAGGAATGGGAAAGCAGCAGCAGAGGGAGGAAGCAGAACAAGTCAGATTACATCACGGGGACTGCAATCAGTGACATGAAACAAAGTATGTATGAATTACTGAATGGAAAATGGATCTGTTCTGTAAACATTCACCCAACTCCCAATAAAACGTTTGAAAACAAAAAACTAGAAATAATGAAAATATTGACACATTATGAAAATGATTTCAGTGTCTGTGAACAAGCTGTGTAGAAATTGTTAGAATGGGAATCTAATTTACTATGTAAACTTTCGCCTAAAACACAACATTAAAAAAAAAAAATTCCCGCTGGGTTTTAAATGCAAGAAGAGAAAAAGAAGTATTTCAGAAGAATCAGCATGGAACACAACTGCATTATATGGGTGAGAATTTGGGAATTCTGGGGTGAGGACAATGTCTGAAGATTTTACAGGCAGTCCAAGAAGCTAAATGATCTCTTCCTACCTGTACCAGCTGGTCAGAGTCATCATGATGTACAAGGAAGCCAAGCAGAGCATGAAATGGAAGGCAGAGTAGCTGTACTGCACTCCTTCTTTCTCATTGTCCAAAGCCCGCCGAAACTGTCCATCTTCTTCATCACTGGCACCATTGGTAGCAGTGTCATTGAGGATCACACTGTCGCTCCCTGACAGGGTCAGCTTGTTCACTTGGCTAGTGCTGGAATTGCGAATGCTGAAAGTGTCCAAAGAAGACAATTCAGAAAGCGGGCATAGTGTTAAGCAGCTGCTATTGGCCTGTACCAGCTGTTCCGCTCCCAGAAAGATTTACAGCTTCGGAAACCCTGTACAGGGTGGCTATGAGTCAGAACCAACTCCAAGGCACATAACAACAACAACAACAACAACAACCAGCCCGTATGTCTGAAGGTGATTTCTGAGCTACTCCTACTTTCTCTGGTACACAGAAGGTACCCACTAGAGTTCTGCTAAATGACACACACTACACAGTCATCTCAGGAGATGCAGAGAAAACACTGGCCTTTCATGCTAGGAACACACTCTCCTGATAGGAACACCCTTTTATCATGCAAACACATCACAAACTAGGAATAGAAAAGAACTTCCTCAACCTGATAAAGACACTATGAGAAGCCCACAGCGAACTATTCTGCTTTATGGTGAAAAACTGCCTTGCTTTCCCCCTGAGATCAAAAACAAGACAAGAATGTCTGCTCTCACCAATTTTATTCTCATTATTGAGATGGCAAATTGCCTAAATTAATCCAGAGATTCAATGCAATGCAAAATGGGTATAAACAGCCACCACTGGTCATCTCTGGAAGTTTGGGACTACCAAACTTAAACACTGTTGTTGTTGTTAAGTACCGTCCAGTTGGTTCCAACTCACTGCAACCCTGTATAGGGTTTCTGAGGAGTAACTGGGAGGTTTGAACTACTGACCTTGTGGCATGCAGTCCAGTGCGCTTATCCTACAGCGCTACACCAGGAGACTTAAACATAGATGTATGAAATTCTTCAACTGTTTAAATATTGTGTACAATGATAATATTCCTCATGAGGATGTACCTTTAACTTACCTAGAATACACAAGGCAGATAACAAAGACTAGCAGCCCCAAAATATCCTCTACTTCCAGAAAATGTCCAGTCTTTATTGGTGGAGCAGAAGTTGGGGCTACAGCAGATGAGTTTCCAGGAGCCCAGGTTGGTGTCGTTCTGTGTGTGATGATGCTCAGCAGGTCGGGTTTGCAGGAATGATCTGAGAATGAGAAACGAGATTCCGTTACCCTGGTGTACCTCATTCTGTTGCACAGACATCTGACACATGTGCTTACACACCAGTCACTCATTGTGCAAGACAGAAAGACTAGAGTCAAAAGATCCCGAGACAGCAGTCAGCACCCTATTTGTTATACCCAATGACTCTGTTTTAGGAGAGGAAAAAGAAAAAGATACTATCAAAGTATAAGAATATACATTTTGATTTCACTGGTTTTGTGATTTAACTGGTATTTTTGGTTCTATAGTTGTGCAAAGGCTTTAACTACAAGTTTATCCCTAGTTTTGTTTGTACACAGTTGCAAAGGAATCTAATAAAAAAATAAGTTAAATCATCATTGAAGGATCTGGAATAATGGCTTACCTTTAAAAGGAGTATAACTGTAAAAGGAGATTACCTCCAGCCGTTTTGATTAGTGCCCACAACAAAGTTCAATGAAAGCAGTTCTACAATACGGCTGCAACAATGCTAATCTTATCCAAAGCCCTAAACTAGTTCACTTAGTCCCAGCTATTTACAAGGTTACATCAATAGGCATGCAGAAAGAAATTTGAAAGGTATAATGAATAAATAGTGAACTTAAAAAAAACCACCACATTGCTCAAGGTCTAGTTTTTGTACTACCGAGAGGCAATGTCCTATTTCAGTCTTGTGTTATTGAGCTTCCCTTACCTGGTACATTGGACATGGCTGAGAATGTGAGGTACATGGTGTACAGGGTGATGACAGAGGACTGCAGGAGCCCAGACCGAGGCTGATGTTCCTGTGAAATCCAAAGAAACACAATACCAGAGGGGAAGCAAAAACTGACTTTCTAACACCAGCTATGGAACATCTTGCCTGGCAGGCAGAGCTAGCCTAGAGCCTTCTGCTTGGCGGGTGAAAGATAACAGGTAACCTTGCTATTTCTTAAGTGTGATTGCAAAAGAGCCAGCAAAGAGGAGCCTGCACTATGAGTTCTTAAGGCATTCCCTAACCCTGGTTGTGCCTGTGTAACGCACCGAGCTTTGGCGGTCTAGTCCCGTCATGCAGTGCGAAGAGTGGAAGTGCCTGATTTGGGGGTTGCTAGGTGCCTCACACTTCAAGACTTACAATTTTCCCGTTTTTAAAGGATGCTTTATTTCATATCTAAGGAGCTATGATATTCTTAAAGTTGTATATTTAAAAGATGAAACTCAAAGAACAAACTTTATTTTTAAATATTAAAACCAATTATATTTTAAGCAAGTCTGATTCCCTTAAAATACTTGGCTAATGACTCATGAGAATCACTCCCATGACTTAAGTACTTTTATAATAACTATAAATTCTCAAATTAGTCAACATTAAAAGCCATTCACAAGCGAAGGATATAACCATACCTGAATTTTTGGAAGAACTGAAATGACAGAAACCACAATGCACAGGATCAGATTAATACTGATGAACCACTTGTTTTCTGTGCAGCCATCAGGTTTGGTGAAATAAACGTAGAATAATACCACTGAGATGAATGCCAGGGTATAAAGGAAACTTGTCGCAGACAATAAAGCTGAAAACCAAGGGGAGGGACTAATATGAATGCCCACAATTAACATAAATACAACTTTTTACAATGAAGATCAACTTTGACTTTACATAAAAATCAAGAGGTATCATTTCACTTTTATAATGGTCAATAATTTACAGTGAAATGGTAGAAGTCGCAAAGCTGAAATTTCAGGTTAAGCGTTGGCTCAAGCATTTGCATTAGCACCCGGATTACCTAAATTGGCTTATTGGGTTGGGTGGACAGACATTTGATGAGTCCAACTAGGGGACACTGCTCATATAAGGTGAATTGTGGTGGTTGTGTGTTACCACATCAGTTCCAACTCACAGCAACCCTGTATAGGGGTTTTCGAGGCTGCAGATTTTTAGGGGAGTAGAAAATCTTTCTTTCACAGAGCAACAGGTAGATTCGAACTACTGACCTTGCAGTTAGCAGCCCAGTTTGTAATCCACTATGCTGCCAGAGTTCTTTTTAGGTAAATGACATGCATGGAAAGCTTTTCTTACATGAGCCAGTGCACAGCAAACTACAGTTATTTTCCCATCTCAGAGACATATCACATCCCTGAGTCAGGCAAGGAATTCATTTGCTATTTTCAAACAACTAAGGTTTCCTTCCATTTACATGGCTAATCAACAATTAGTTATGTTAACTATCTGAAAATGAAAAAACCATGAAGCACAGCATATGGTGTACTTCAATAAGTTGCAGCAAAGCTGAACTTAATTTGTGCTCAATTCAAAGCAGACATTTATTTGAAAAAAACAAACTAGTTTCTTCATGGATTTTTGATATTTAAAATGAAACAATATAAAATTAACACAGTATTTAACATTTTTGCAGGTGAATACACAAGATTTCCCTGTCTTTGTGATATGCTGTTCCTGCTGTTTCTGACTCATAGTAACCCCGTTTAGGGTTTCTGAGGAGCAGCTAATGGGTTTGAGTTGTGAACCTTGAGGTCCTGTGTATCCTACAGTGTCACACCAGGACTCCTTACTTATAGTTATTCCAAAGCATGGCTAATCTCTAACTCATTATTATTACATTCTTCTAAAATTGAGTAGCCCAAAATACATTACAGAAAACAAAAGTATATGAATAGGAAAAAAAGAAAAAATATTTTTACTAGAAAGGATTTTCAGAACTCCCAACCCATAATGATAAGATTACCTAAAGTTCTTTGCCTAAAGAAACAAGACATTACAATTTAAGTGACTGACAACTTTACTATTAGATGCTGTCAAGTCAGTTCTGACTCAGCAAGCCTATGTGCAGCAGAAGGAAACACGGCCCAGTCCTGCACCCGCGGCACACTCACCACTAAGCTCCCCGTTCATGACTGCACAACCAGTTAGAAGAGACCCATATCTGTATGCATTTCAAAGCAGCATGACCCACAGGAAGGTGGAAATCAAACAGTATCATTTATAACATAAGCAAGTGACATTTTACTGAGAATAATTTTTAAATGGTTGCAGCTGCACATCCACAGGAAGCTGTCAGAAATTCAAGTCAGATTCAGAAGAGGACACGGAAGGCGAACTGGTCCTGGCTGAAGTGCATGTGGTATTAATGACATTGTAAAGCCAGTTCCTACCCAGTCACCCTAGACAAGGCTTCAGAGACTGTGCAGAAAGTTTCATCTTTCTCCCTCAAACCACTGACCTTGTAATTCAGTCTAGGGCTTATCCTACAGAGCCACTGCACTCCTGATATTAATGATACTGTTCAATAACTTCAACAATCAATACCAAGTAACTTTTATTTGGAATGGGTACAAATATGGATCTTATAATGGACTGACCAGGTAGCTGTTTTACAAATTTCTTGGTATAGACTAAGTTAATGCTTAGAGTGTTGAATCTGTTTGTTGAAACATCTCAATTGGTACTATTAATCCTAAATGCAGCTTAGACGTCTTCCCTCAATACCATCTGTTCATGATCATATGCTACCCCCTGAAATGGTTAAACACCAATCAATTATTTTTGGTACTATGACTCTGTATAGTCCTTCCATCTAATGATGCTTCGTGCACCATTCAAAAGCCCATAGAATCCCTTCAATATTGCAACTGGAGGCTTGGATTTTTTCTTGAGTTATTTTAACTCATTAAATAAATTATAGTACATCTGTGTGGCACTATGGGATAATGCACTGGGGACCACAAGGTCAGTGTGAACCACAAGATCGGTGGCTCAAATACACCAGCCACTCCATGGAAACCCCATACGGGGCAGTTATGAGTTGGAACCGACCCAAAGGTACTTACCACCAACAACCACAATAACATTCTATAGAATACCTATTAAATGCATGACTTACTCACTGGCATGAAAGAATAGTAATACACTAAATGAAAAGTCATGGAAACATATATAGCACGATCCTATTTTATTTAAATGACATTCAAGTGAAAAAATACAAAGGGCCTTCAACAAGTCCGTGGAAAATTTCCAGTTTTTTAGTTCCACAAACTTTCTGAAGCTCCCTTAGACAGATAAACATTGCATAACTGTGGTTACATCTGGAAGGAAAATGAGATGCAGGTGAGTGAGGAGAGATCTGCGTATTTTACTTGTTATGAAGTTCTATCTTTTTTGTTTACGGTGAAACATGGGTTTTTTTGTTTTTGTTTATTTAATAATTTTAAAAGCAGGCTAAATAAATGACAATGTTGTTGTTAAGTACTACTGAGTCAGTTCTAATTTACAGTGACCTATATATAGGATTTTTGAGGAGCAACTGGTGGGTTGGTACCACTCATCTTCTGGGTTAGCAGTCGAATGCTTATCCTACAGCACTATACCAGGACTCTAAATACATGACAATAAAATAAAAAATTTGATGTTTTATGTATTAAAAGTCTTTAAAATAGTCATATCCTTTGACCCATCTACTTCTGGAAGCTAATTCTAAGAAAATAATCATTATTGCTATACAGACTAAAGTATGTTCACTTACTACTTAGAAGTCAAAGAGAAAAGTCAAACCACAAACAATTTGAATGTAAAAGTCCAATAAAATGCAAACAAGACTTGTTTGATCTTTTCTTTGCACAGAAGATACATTTGCTCACAGAACAAAAGACTGGGAGGCTATAGACTTAATATGCTAGCAGATAATGATCAGTAGATTGTGGGGGGTTTGTTTTCTTTTAATGTGATTTTCTACTTTTCAAGTTTCTGACATAGATCACCTGTAATTTTTATGAAAGGGAAGCGGAGGGAGACAGAATCTCAGCAACTGTTATTTAAGTCCTACTCCTAACTCAGAATTCTTAAGTGCCTTTTACCTATTGGAAAGCTCTGAAGAGAGATGGAGGTCACACTCTCAAGAAAGCCGAACTATTCACCCCTCTCTGCTGGAAGTAAGTGGACAGATTTCCCCCTTGTAGAACCTATCTGGGTCTCCTATCAATGGAGACAAGGTATTCAAAATTAAGGCTATAGTAGTGAATAAAAGCAACTCACTTTATTTAGATACATCTAATTACATTTGTTTTGTTTTTTGAGTACTGCAAGGTCGGCAGTTCAAGCTCACCAGCCACTCCTCGAAAACCCTATACAGGGTTCTCTATGAGTTGATCCGACTTAACAATTACATTTTACTAATCCCAAAATAAATAGATTGGGAGACTCCAATGATTAGTATGTTATCTGTGCTACTCCCTTTTAATAATGCATATAATTCAGAATTGACTCAGGTTTTTTTTTTTTAAAGATAGCTCTATAATAGTGTTCAAACCCACCAGCTGCTCCTCAGAAACCTATACAAGGTCATTGTGTGTCAGAATTGACTCAACGGCACTCAACAACAGAGGTTTTCATGTAGCATAACGCAGCATGGCTCTCGGTGAGTTTAGGTACCTACCAGCATACCAGCACCTTGGGTTTCCTTCCTCCATTTGATTTACCCATTTTTCATTCCAAGAATGAGCGAAATCCACCAGCAGCACCAGCTGGATGACAATGAATAAGAAAGCCCCTATCATGCCAACAACAAACCAGGCTACAAACCAAAAGAAGAAAAGTTATTTTGAACACAGAAGTAACATTTCAATAGGCCGATATTCTGAACAAATTTCAACTCAAATGAGAGGTGTTACCTACTTATCCTGTCTCCAACAGCAATGCAAACTCACAGACATTCTCTGAGAAGTGCCTTGTTGGGTTTCTGCCCTTTTTATAACTTGTTCTAGCTTATGCCAATGGGATCCTAGACAGTCTAAATGGTATACGCCTTGTCCTTTACTATAGAGACGGAAAATCAGAGTAGAAATCCAAAGAAGTCACTTTATGCCATATTAAAGAAAGCAGGCTAAAACAAAAACAGTGGAACAAACGACTTACAAATCCTTATGTGGTCCAGCTTTCCCCTTAACTGGGTGAGAATGCAAACTTTTAAAATTTTGGCAAAATATTAACATAGGGCTCCACTGAAGCCGAGCAGTAAGTGGGATGTTTGACTCATGGCTTTAATCAAACCACTTTCCTACCAAGTTATAGAACTGGACAGCATCTTATTTGACACCTAGTTCTGCAACATCAGTATGAGCGTGTGGCTTTAACTCAATTGTTTGTAGACTTCATAGATCTTATGATTAACTTCCTCAGTAGTAAGCCATACCTGTGGCAAAATGACCCCCAGGAATGTAGAAAGATCCAACCGTGATACCAACAAGGGCTGCAATTTTGAAGAACCAAAACCTATTAAAATACAAAAATGCATTTCTGAAATGCTAATTTTTGCCATTACACTGAGAAAAACCCATTTCTGAAATACAAAAATAAGAGCCGTAGCAGCTTTACCAACATCATAGGCTTCTTTATCTGACATGATAATAACACTTCACTCAGTTATTTCACAGAATTTAGGGAGGAACATCAGCACAGAGAAGAACCCATTTGCTTTCACAGTGAGAAATGTGTCACTTTTTGGCATTTCTCTGTTTTTCCAGTGTAAAGATTAAAAAAAAATTTTTTGTAATCTAGAATTCTAGGTGTGTGTGTGGGGGGGGGGGGGGGGGGTTATCAGCTAATCCTTGTTTAAAAGGTCGGCCATGACTCCCAGAAACACAAATTGCCTTGCCCACAACATTTATCACTGGCAAAGCCAGAAACCAAACCCAAGTTTGAATCCATCCTCTTTAAGGGCTGCCTGCATGTCGGAGCAGAAAGAATGAGGCTGTGGGCAGATATGAGTTTCAATCCTAGCTCCCAGCCTTCACTAACTGAATAAATCTCAAGCAATTTATTTAACCTCTCTAAAATTCAGTTACTGAATCTGTAAAAGGGGAATTACAATTCATGCAAAGTTTACAAAACTCACTTCAGTCTTCTAATGAGAGGTAGAAATCGATTTTGATAAAAGGGAAGCTGGGGGACAGGAATAGGGACCAATGGACTATGGAAGTCAGAGACTGAGATAGTATGAACTGTGACCTTGCAGTTAACACGCCAGTGCTTACCCTACAGCACACACTGGATTCCATAATAACTATACTAAGTGCTTGTTGACCTTGAAACAATAAAAAGAATGTATAAACACACAGACATATGCATGTTGTATGAACTTTTTGAGGCCCTGTCATGTGTATATGTTGTTAAGTGCCACTGAGTCTGTTCTGACTCTCAGCCACCTTATATAGGATTTCCAAGGAACGGCAATGGGTTTGAACCACCAACCTTGTAGTTAGCAGTCTGTGCAGACTCATGTTTGTTTATGTGTGTATGTATCATTTAGAAACATGAAAAGCAATGGTATTCAGAAAAATACTAAGTCCTGCCATGCCTCTCCTGCCCACTGTTAGAGTTCTAACTGAAAATGGCATTGAAACAATTTCCCATGTGTAATAAATTAGGCATAAGTACATCTGAGCCACTGATTTAACTATTCTACTGCTAAAAGAGAAGGCACACTCTAAAAAGTTAGTAAGAAATCTTACATACCCATTGTGTATTGCTGCTCTCGGATCTTTACTTGTTCTTACGTTCAACATGAGCAGAAAGAAGATAGCGAAAAAGATGGCCAAGGCAAAGCTGATCCGGTACACAGCTTTATAACCGACCAGCACACCACAATCTTTATCCTCCTTGACATCAACTACCTTGATTTTAAATCCTCCTTCACAAAACCCAGGAATCTAAAAAAAAAAAAAAAGCCATTTTAATGCTACAGGATTATTCACATTTAAACAGATTCTCACCCATGATAGGAAAGCCTGGATGCAAAGAACTGGTCACTTCAACAACTGCTAGATTGTCCGTGACTCTCCAGATTCAAAGGACTGCTTCTAAAGGCGAAGGGCTTAGTCTAGCTGTGATGTTGCTGTTTTAAACACACAGCAAAGAGAATGTCTGGGACCGTTCTTGTATCTGTTTTCTTTCAACTGCTAAATTAAGAGCCTGAAGATTTTTATTCTGATTACTTTTATTTCTGGAAAAGGACTAATATCTTCTGACTATATCCAAACCCAACAATTACACTGAACTTGATTTAGTCTCATAATAGTGAATAATAAGAACATCAATAATAAATAAAAATTTTGCAAGATAAACATTACCAGGAAATTCAGAGTACTGTTCCTTCTACTTACCTTCTTCAGTTGGGTTTCCATCCCTGGTGTCAGCATGATACAGGACACAACCGTGCCCAAGAAGAGAATGAAGGCATAGGCGAGGCGGGTCATGGTGGAATTCTTAACGTTGGGGCAGCAACTACATAGCAAACAGGACGCCCCACCGCAGAGGCATGGAACCTGCAAATAAAGGACATTATGGACACCTGAGATCTCCCTCAACAGCCTCCTCCTTCACAGCAGAGATGTGACAGAAGACTAGTTCAAATGTCAAACACACTGAAAACCAGGCACTGAATCATTTTAACGGAGAGAATACAGTTGGGGTGGAGTAAGGGTCAAAGGTAGCAGACACAATTAAATGTATGGGCTCTGGACTCACTCCTGGACTCAGTTTGATTTCTGCCACTCTACTTCAACCCTGTGTCTCCATCTGTAAAGGAGACTTAACAATAGAACTTTCTTCCCTCAGCTACTCCTTAGAAGCGAGATTGGCAAGACTTCGTCAGACACTACTCACCAAAGTAGGATATAAAACATTGTCTTTGTGGACTGTTATGCAGTTGACCATGATGTCCCCTAAGACTATGGTTCTGAACCCCCAGGCCTAGCAACTCAGTGCCTGAAGACGTTTGATAACAGCTTAAAAGTTTTCATCATTTTGTCAGCTATATGCTCTACCACATTCATAGTTGTGTTTGCAGAAAAGGTAAATATCCATTTACAAAATATCTTATCGAAAAATATGGAATGCTTCAAGAATTTGCAAGTCATCCTCGTGCAGGGGCCATGCTAATCTTCTCTGTATGAACTTCAGTGTATGTGCAGCCAAAGCAAGCACCAGTCTTCTAATTCTTAACTATAGTCTGGGCCAAAAGACCAAAATATAATACACTGATAGGAAATATCTAGAGCAGGCAAATTCTTAGAGACAAAAAGTAGTTTTGGTTCCTAGGAGCTAGAGGTTGTATGAAATGAGGAGTTAATATTTAATTTAATATTAATATTTAATGCAGCATGGAGAATGTCAGACCCACTGGGCAGGCTGTATAAAGCCTGTGAAATTATATGGACTGGCCCTGCAAAGGGAACCACAGTTTCAGTGATCACATTATAGCAGACGAATTGTTAAGGTGATAATTTTGTATAGCCCACAAATGATTTCTAAATATCCAAATGGCCCTTGGCAGGAAAAAGGTTTCCCACCCCTGGTTTAATCGGTAGTTTCTGTGTAGGATGATGAACATTTTTGGAAATAAAGATTTTTGTTGTTGTTAAGTACCGTCGAGTCGATTCTGACCCATAGCGACCCTGTATAGGGTTTCCGAGGAGCAGCTGGTGAGACTGAACCACCGATAGTGCAGTTCAAACAACTTTACAGTCTCATGCATTAACCCACAGTGCCACACCAGGACTAAAGATAGTATTGATGAATTCATTGCATTGTGAATGTAATAAATGCTACTGCATTGTACACTTTAGAATGGTTAAAATAGCAAATGTTGTTACATGTACATAAGGGGGGCTTCAAAAATTTCATGGAAAAATTCCATCTTTCCATTCCATTTTCCACTAACTTTTTGAAGCCCCCTGGTATTTTACCACACACATAAAGTTTGAAGCTGGCCACAGATGGAAGTCTAGACATTTTATAGCTAAAAACAATGATTCTAATTGCTTAAGATTAATTATGAGTCAGAATAACGGGACAGCACTTAACAACTTGTCTCTAATCTTCAGGAAAATATAAATACCTTGAGGGGGAGACCACACCTTTTACCTTTACACAGCTGTTGTTAGGTGGCAAGTTGGTTCTAACTCACAGTGATCCTGTCTGCACAGGGTTTCCAAGGAGTGGCTGGTGAGCTTGACAACCAACCTTGCAGTCCAGCACCTTAACCCGCAGCGCCACACCAGGACTCCCTTTACACAGTTGTTGTTGTTAGCTACTGTAAGTCCGTTCCGACTCATAGTGACCCTACACAGGATTTTCAAGGCTGCAAATCTTTATGGGAGCAGAAAGCCTCATCTTTCTCCCAAGGAACAGCTGGTAGTTTTGAACTGCTGACCTTGAGGTTAGCAGCCCAATTTGTAACCACTATGCTACCAGAGCTCCTTCCCTTTACATAGTAGGTACTCAATTAATAATCTGTGGGGCAAACGTGTTCTTCTATGTTATGTCATTTCCTATCCTGATCAATGACAATTCCAGTTGTCATTTTGCTGAGGCCAAAACCCTTGGAGTAATCCTTGATGCCTTCCTTTTGCCAAACCCCTTATTCAATCTGTCAGCAATTTAGCTCTATCCTTAAAATACATCCAAAGTTCAATCACTTGGATAGCATTCTTGGTCCAAGCCACTATATTCTCTCTCTCACCTGGGTTGAATACAATAGCTCTCCTCTCTGTACTCATTTTGTTAAAAACACAGGTCAGATCCCTTCATTCCTCTTTGCAAACTCTGCAGTGGGTTCCTGTACCACTTGTGAGAAACAGCCAAAGAGCTTAGATTGAGTTTCAAGAGCATAAATTAGAATCTGCAAAATTGGTTCATTGTTAACCTTTTCCTGGTTTTCATCCCTTCACTCCTCCCAGTGTGGAGCACTACTCTCTGCCGTTCCTACTAAACAACAGGCACACTACCATCTCAGAGCTGCTGTGCTCTCTGCCTAGAACACTATTCACTAAACTACTGGGTTTAAAAGGAGCTCTGGTAGCGTAGTGGTTACAAATCGGGGTGCTAACTTCAAGTCAGGAGTTCAAAACTACCAGCTGTTCCACAGGAGAAAGATGAGACTTTCTACTCCTGTAAAGATTTACAGCCTCGGAAACCCTGTACAGAGTCATTATGAGTCAGAACCAACCCCATGGCACATAACTACAACAATGTCAGGTTAATGTGTTGTATTGTAAGGTCGGTTTGAATAGCAAGTCAGCAGAGTTCAAGCTCACCAGCCACACCTTGGAAACCCTATACAGTGTAATCATTAAGAATTGACACCGGCTCAGCGGCACTTAACAACAACAACAACAACAAATTATCAGCATGGATCACCAGATCACTTCTGTTACATATGTACTCAAATGAGTCTTCACTCCATGTGGAGACCACTTTGGCATAGTTGTGGTTGTTAAGTTCTGTTAAGTAGTTCCGACTCATAGTGGCCCTATATGGGGTTTCTGAGGAGCAGCTGGTGAGTCTGAACTGCCAACCTTGAGGTTCAAAGTGACTTTATGGTACAGTGCTTCTCCTACAATGCCACACCACAACTCCTAGTTCCTAATAAAATAGGTTTTTTTGTGTGTGTTTTTTTTTAAAAAAACAAATATGCCTAAATGACAGTAGCTTGGAAAAGTGTCATTTCAATCATCATTTCACATACAACCCCACACTATCACCACCACTCTTGCCCACTAAACCAAAGGCCAAAATTTGCATGTGCTAGCTAGCCTGAGTCATTTACATTGTGTATTTCCTTGCTTGAAACATATAGTTTTTGATGGTCATATAAATAAAATATAGCATTCTAATTTTAATAATTAGTACACCACCAAGTTGTATTCTTTGTCGCAATAAATACTTGGTCACTGAAAACAAAAAATTTTGGTGATCACTCACTTAACATTGCTTTTGTTGTCTTGAATAAGAAACTCTTAACAACCGTCTTTGCAAACTCACATTTGTCCTCCTATAATTTCTGATGACCCCAATTTCAAATACAGGCTCACAAAATGAAAATGCTCAAGATAATTTTACATTTATCTTTCATTCTAAATATGCTTGACAGGAATAAGGCCCAAAGGAGTAAATTACAGATTTTGATGCAAGGTCTCTGATGTTAATTTCAATTCGCTTACTATGAAAGTTACATCAAAGCCAAAATGTGCTTCACATTATCAGAAAAGGAAAGATAACGTTTGTTTCAGATTATCAATTTACTCCTTCACTAAATCTACTTTGTAAAGCATGGGTCTAACTCAGTGGGTTACAAAATTCAGCAGACTGGGTTCCACCAGAATTTTGTTTAACATAATATGTTGTTGTTGTTAAGTGCCGTCGAGTCGGTTCCGACCCATAGCGACCCCGACAGGGTTTCCGAGGCTGTAAATCTTTACGGGAGTAGAAAGCCTCATCTTTCTCCCGCGGAGCAGCTGGTAGTTTCGAACCGCTGACCTTACGATTTGCAGCCCGATTCGTAACCACTACACTACCAGAGCTCCTTATAACATAGTGGTTACAAATTGGGCTGCTAATCTCACAGTCAGTAGTTTGAAACTACCAGTGGAGTTCTCCAGGAGAAAGATGAGGCTTTCTGCTCCGGTAAAGATTTACAGCCTCGGAAACCCTGTACAGGGTCGCTATGAGTGGAAACTGACTCCACGGCACATAACCAACCACCAACAGAATATTAAAGCCAAATTGCACAGCAGCTGGTAAGAATAAGAATGATTTTTCGTGGAACTTTGTGTGTGGGATGATTTGGAGTCAGGGTCAAGAAAATTGGAAAACCACTTTTCTCAAGGAACCCTCTGAACGCTCTCATGTCCTTTTGATGAAAAATCAATCTTAAAGGACTGAAAAATATACTTTGTCCCCAAGAAAGTGGGGATGGAATGGACCTGGGTCTTTGGTCAAATTGTGGGACCTAAAGAAGAAACTCCATTTTCTACCTGGGCTAGAGCACGTCTCCCCGTCTCAGGAATGTGCCTGGTCAGTTAGTACCACACGGAGATGACCCTTTTCCTCTAGGAGCCATAAAAGAAGGCATAAACATTCCTGACAACCCCAAGTCTGGATAATGTATGTCTTCCTTACCCTAATTAAGCTGTCCTAGGTACAGATAATGGCCAATCAAATCGTGTTGCCCCATACCTTACCAAGTGTAAGCCAATCCTAGAGAAGTTAAGTAGAAGACCCCACCCCCACCCAAACCCACCCCCACTCCCCGAACCTGTTTGTAAACTCTATAAAAACGCCCGCGGACAAAGAGTTCGGGGCTCTATCCCTAATCCGCTGCGTCGGATGCGGTTAGAGACCTGCATCGGTGTCAGCTCCTTGGGTGGTCTTTGGGGGACCCCCCCCCCGAATTCTGGGCATAACAAAATCAGTTGGGAAATTAGGGTAAAAAGACAGACATCAAAGAATCACGTTCCTCTGAAGTGGGTAAATAAATGTACTAACTCCGCATACTATCATAGATCCTAAACGTCTTTAAAAAAAAATTCGTTTACAGTTCTCAATATGTACAAATTCTCACTTTATCCTTACAACAGCCCAAAAAAATCTCTTGAGGAAGGAAATTACTTCATATTACGGGAAGGCAAAGTTAAATGTTCAGATCACAGCTTCCAATTTTGGATAACAATTCACAAGATCTTCCTTCGTTTGCAACAGAACCGCAGGCAGGCCTTGGTTAGAATACCAACTCTGGCGCACAGAATGCTTTGGCAAAGTCACGTGCTATGGGATACAAATACGATTCAAGGTACCCAAAATTTTATGACTCCACCTTAAGACAGTGCCTCAAAAATGAGCCAGTGACGCTCCCCATCCCCGCCGCCGAGCTCCCACTCGGCGATCTAAACCAAATCCGCTCCTAGGAAACCCACACCGGAAAGGCCAGCGGGGGCGGGGCATCGGAATTGTAAACAAAGGCGGACGGGTCTCCGACGTTTCCCAACAAACTCAGAAGAGCCGCTGGATCACGGACTGGGGGAGTCACGGATGGGCGAGCGCAGAAATCCGCTGCGGCCCAGGGCCTGCGGCCCTCCAAACTTCCTGGACCGAGACCCTTTCGGGCCTGGGCCCTGGGGCTCCCTACCGAGCTTCCCCGGGATCGCAGGGCACTAAGCCCTGGAACTCACCCAGCTGGCAAGGGAGAAGACACCCAGCACAGCCCCCATAGTGACGATGGTGATGGAGGCAGCCGGCTGGAGGGCTCAAGTGCGGTGTTAACTGCCAGCCGAAATGTCTTTTCAGAAACGCTATGGTTTCTCAGGCCGGAAATGCAACCTGCCCCTCGCCTGACGCGAACTGCGTCATTGCGTGGCTCCGCCCGCGTCCCTTAGTCTTAGCTGCAGGGAAGGCATCTCCCATTGGCTGAGGGGAACAAACCAAACTCATTGCCATCCAGTCGATTCCTCAGGGCTGAGAAAGAAGGCGGAGCTAAGTCCACGGGGGCTTCAGAAGGAAGACCGAGCTAAACCCGCCCAGGAGGCGGGAGGAGGGCGGGGCTGAACTATTCGGAGGTCGAGAGGAAAGGTGGGGCTAAACCTGCCGTTGGGGAAACTGAAGACCTCGAAGGTGTGGTGCTGTAGGATAAGCACTAGCCTGCAAGGTCAGTTTGAACCTCCAGGTCGGTGGTTCAGACACACCAGTCGTTCCTCAGAAATCCTTTACAGGCCCGCTATGAGTCGGAACCGACTCAAAGGCACTTAACAACAACGACAGGTTCCCAGTCGCTGGAGAAGGATATCATGTTTGGTAAGGTGGAGGGTCATAGAAAAAAAGAGGAAGACCCCCAAGGAGATGGATTGGCCAAGTGGCAGCATCGATGGACTCAAGCGTGGCAACAGTAGTGAGGTTGGCCCAGGATCGGGCAGTGTCTCGTTCTGCTGTGCATGGGTCGCTATCGACTCAATGGCACCTAACAACAACTGGTCCATAAGGTCGGTTTGAACTGAAAGGTCTAGGTTCAAACTCATCAGCCACACCTCGGAAACCCTGTACAGCGTCACTGTGAGTCGAAACTGACTCCAGCACTTAACAACAACAACAGTGTAAGGACTAATGGTGTGTCGCTGTAGGATCAGCACGGGACTGTGAACCACAAATTTGAACTAATTCCAATGGCAGTTAACAATCAGCAATGTGGCCATGAATCCTTGGAACAACATTATGGTCTCCTATTGATGGTCCCTCATCCAGATGTTTTGTCTCTTCTTTGTCATGTTTAAGACTTAATAAAGGGTTTCTATAAAATCTATTTAAGGAGCTCTAGTAGCGTAGTGGTTACGAATCAGGCTGCAAACCTTAAAGTCAGCAGTTCGAAACTACCAGTTGTTCCGTGGGAGAAAGAGGAGGTTTTCTGCTCCCATAAAGATTTACAGCCTCGGAAACCTATACAGGGTTGCTATGAGTCAGAACCGGTAACAGCACTAGACAAAAACAATAAGATATATTTGAGTTTGTCCTCCCGCCCCCCATCCCCCCCACATCTTGGTGTACTCAGCAGAATCCAAAGCTGTCTTTCCCAGCAGGAACTCGGGAGGTGCAGGACCAGGGCAGGCACTGAAAGAAGAAATGCTTTACTCCCCCTGTATGCACGGACCCCAAGAAACCTGTGATATAGGGAAGGTGGTATTTTTTAACCTTTCTGAGACTCTCACTTAGTCTTGTCGTGTAGTTTTCTTACCTTCAAGGATTGTTAAAGTTTTCTAGCAAAAGTATATCCCGGTGAAGGTAGAAATGTCTTTGATGGCTGCTTAAAGGTTCCAGGGAAAATAGCAATGAACTTGTAAGAAACTAAAATTAGATTATAGGATGCAGCACTTGCATATGATTTAAGATTGTATTTTTGCACCATTAGGAGTGTTTGGTTATAAATTTGGCTGTAGATTTATAAATTCCTGGAGGAATTGTAAGGAACTCTAGTAGCGTAGCAGTTACGAATAGGGCTGCTAACATCAAGGTCAGCAGTTCGAAACTACCAGGTGTTCCGCAGGCGAAAGATGAGGCTTTCTGCTCCCGTAAAGATCTGCAGCCTTGGAAACACTGTGCGGGGGTGTCACTATGAATTGGAACCTGACTCCTGGGTACTTAACAACAACAACAGAGGAATTGCATATATTGAACTCTGGCCTAGTAAGTTTTCCTTTTCTCAGAAGAGTGAAGGATGTTTTGTTGTTGCTGTTGGCTGGTGACAGCAACAGGAGGAGATGCTTTCTGTGTAAATTACTGTGTTATTGCTGTTAAGTGCTGTAGAGTCAATTGTAACCTACAGTGACCCTGTATAGGGTTTCTGAGGAATGGCTGGTGGGTTTGAATCACTGACCTTGTGGTTAGTAGTGATGGCATGGATTTACTGACCTAACAAAATGGAGTTGGTCTGGTCATTAGGTCTTAATAAATGAAGACCCTGCAAATGAGGAAGTTAGTTTAAAAATTAGACGAGATGACCTCATGGTCCTAGAAGGAGAATGGGATGTGCTTAAGCCCACCCAGATAGTTATCTCAGGAATTAAGCAGCTTGATACTAAAAGGTGGAATGTTTGAGAAGGATTATTGCTTGATTATTTCCTTTTTCCTGAAGGTAGAATATTTGAAGAAGTTTATTGCTTTATTGTTTCTTTTTCCCAAAACTGCTGTCTTAATGTTAAAATGATTAAGTATACATCCAAATGTAACCTACCTTATATAACGTGTCCGCTGGTCCTCCAGACTGTTGGCATTCTGCTAATAAAGCTTGGATTGGGTATCTTCCTGTCTCTGTAATTGACTAAAGTGACAGGCGGCAAACCCTCCTTTCAGTTTGGTAACAGTTAAGTGCCATCAAGTCATTCTGGCAACAGTTGTTAAGTGCCATCAAGTCAGTTCTGACCCATAGTGACCCTGTATAGGTTGACCTTGCAGTTCAAATGGCTTTATAGTCTGGCGCATTAACCCACAGCGCGAGTACAGTGCTTATCTTACAAAGATACACCAGAACCCAAGAATTACTGTAAAGGTTTAAAGCTAGTAGGTGTGGACCCGGCTGGGGACCTGGGGACTCCTGGGCCCAGAGTCAGTGACGTGGCCACGGAGGACTCAAGTGGAGAATGGAGCTACCGGCTGATGGGAAGAGAGGGCATGTGCACAAGAACACCCACACTTACAGATGGTACCCACGTGACCAGGACCCGATAACTGGCTGATCAGAGCTCAACCAGGAGAAGAAAGAAGAGGGGGGATAAAAAGAGAAGAAAAAAAAAGAAGATGGAGCTGATTCAATCTGATGAACTTGACCTATATCTATGAATGCAGTGACTCAAAAGAGGCAACAGATCCTTACAGCAAGAAACATTCCCACCCCCTCCACACACACAGTAGACAGAGATGGGCAACTTGGACATTGGATACCCAAATGGGGAGGGAGGAACTACAAAGGCAAGAAGTAACTGGCTTACAAGCTTTCAAGAGGGAACCTAGAGCTAGGGGGCATGGAGGAAGGCAGAATCACCAGTGAGTACTATCCAATCTGTCTAGGTGGAGCTGATGAAATGAAATACAGATTGGTTACTCGCGACACTGTAGTGAATAATGGTTATCAGGACTAATTATGAGGGTTGGAAGTGCAAAGGTACACGTTGTGTAGCAAGGAAGGGAGTGATTATCTCTCCAGTCTAGTAGAGGTCTCTGGGACCACCAACGGAGAAGAGCCTAGAGCGGGACCCTACCCAGAGAAGCAGGGACTCCTGAAATGGAGACAGAGACTATGACATGGAGGGATGAAGCGTCTGGGGACATTGGATCCAGAGAGCGAGAGGGACTGTGGGCCAATG